GTGCCGGAAGCTGTGAGACGTGTTGTCGGGCATATTGTACCAGGGCCGATTTGTGGCATTCTTTGTGACCACTCGACCATGCAGCTAATTTTTGTTCAAATATCGTTATATTGTGCTCCTTGGAACAACCGCACCATCTTTTTCCGGAGCAGCCTGTATTTCTCTTGAGCTCACCTGTGGGGTTTTTCTTTGTATCCCGAACAATTCTTCTGGTGGTTGTGGCTGCAATCTTTCTTGGTCTCCCTGACCTCCGCTTGGTATCAAGAGATCCCCGCATTTTCCACTTCTTAACTGAGGACAACCTGTTAACAGGGAAGGAGCCAGCCCAGTGAATGGCCTGAAAGCAGCTACCAACCCGCTACGCTGATCTGTGAACCCTCTGTGCCAATCCCTGCACTGACCTCCACTCAGTGTCCTCCACCCCTCTCTGCCAATCCCTCCACTGGCCTCCATTCAGTGTCCTCCACCCCTCTCTGCCAATCCCTTCACTGACCTCCATTCAGTGTCCTCCACCCCTCTCTGCCAATCCCTCCACTGACCTCCATTCAGTGTCCTCCACCCCAGTGTCCCCAGCAACAATAGACCACCGCACAAAAATATATCCCCTTCAGTGACCATAGATCCCACAGCAGCCAGCAACAGTAGATCCTACGGCAACAATGTACCCCCAAAACAAAATATCAGCTCAGCAGCAATGGATCCCCAGAAGCTACAACAGATCCCCCAACAGCCAGCACCAATAGACTCTCAAGCAGCCAGCAACAATTGACCCCCATCAACAATATACCTCCCCAGCAACAATAGACCACTACAAGAGATCCCCTTCAGTGACAATAGATCCCCCAGCAGCCAGCAACAACAGATCCTACGGTTACAATGGACCCCAAAAACAAAATACCACCCCAGCAACAATAGACCCCAAGCAGCTACAACATATCTCCCAACAGCCAGCATCAATAGATTCTCCAGCAGCCAGCAACAATAGACAAAATACACCTCCCTCAACAATAGACCCCTCCCTCAACAGTAGATCCCTTCCTGCAACAATTGACCCCCATCAACAATGTATCTCCCCAGCAACAATAGACCACCACACAAAAATAGATCCCCTTCAGTAACAATAGACCCCCCAGCAGCCAGCAACAATAGATCCTACAGCACCCCTTGACATTACATACATCCAGTGTGCTCCCCTGTGTTCCTGCTGAAAAAAACCCTACTGATAGGAGGAGAGAACAGAGCGATGGAGAGATGTGCTCATCACTGCCCTGCTTCTCCTTTCACTGTCCAGTCCCAAGCTGGGGGTGACCTGGGCTTGTAGAAGTGGACTGAAAGATGTTGGCCATCAGGCTGGGGACATCTAGTGGCAGAGTTAAATACTGCAAGGCGAAATCGCTGGAAAGTATATCACTCTTCATCCCATTCTCGTTATGTTTTGTTTTTTTGGGGCTCTTCGTCCCATTCTTGTTATTTTTTTTTTTTTTGGGGGGGCTCTTTATCCCATTCTCATTATTTTTTGTTTTTGGGGGGTTCTTCTTCCCATTCCTATTATTTGTTTTTTTTGGGGGGGCTCTTCATCCCATTCTTGTTATTTTTGGGGGGTTTTTTTGGGGCTCTTCTTCCCATTCTTATTTGTTTTTTTGGGGGCTCTTCCTCCCATTCTTGTTATTTTTTGGGCTCTTTGTCTCATTCTTGTTATTTTTTTGTTTTTTGGGGGGGCTCTTCATCCCATTTTTATTTTTTGTTTTTTTGGGCTCTTCCTCCCATTCTTGTTATTTTTTGGGCTCTTCCTCCCATTCTTGTTATTTTTTGGGCTCTTCGTCCCATTCTTGTTATTTTTTTTTGGGGGGGGGGGGCTCTTCATCCCATTCTTATTATTTTTTGCGGTTTTTTTTTTTGGCTCTTCATGCCATTTTTGTTATTTTTTTGTTTTTTTGGGGGGCTCTTCATCTCATTCTTGTTATTTTTTTTGGTTTTTTTTGGGGCTCTTTCGTCCCATTCTTGTTATTTTTTGTTTTTTTTGGGGGGGCTCTTTATCCCATTCTCATTATTTTTTGTTTTTGGGGGGTTCTTCTTCCCATTCCTATTATTTGTTTTTTTGGGGGGGCTCTTCATCCCATTCTTGTTATTTTTGGGGGGTTTTTTGGGGCTCTTCTTCCCATTCTTATTTGTTTTTTTGGGGGCTCTTCCTCCCATTCTTGTTATTTTTTGGGCTCTTTGTCTCATTCTTGTTATTTTTTTGTTTTTTGGGGGGGCTCTTCATCCCATTTTTATTTTTTGTTTTTTTGGGCTCTTCCTCCCATTCTTGTTATTTTTTGGGCTCTTCCTCCCATTCTTGTTATTTTTTGGGCTCTTCGTCCCATTCTTGTTATTTTTTTTTGGGGGGGGGGGGGCTCTTCATCCCATTCTTATTATTTTTTGCGGTTTTTTTGGGCTCTTCATGCCATTTTTTGTTATTTTTTTGTTTTTTTGGGGGGCTCTTCATCTCATTCTTGTTATTTTTTTTGGTTTTTTTTTTTGGGGCTCTTCACCCCATTCTTGTTATTCTGGCTGGAGTTGTGATTTGTTTGCCTGGAGCTGAGCTCCTAATAAGAAGTCGCCCTAATAGATTGGAACCCGAACTGGAGAAGGACAGGCGAAGCCTGGATCTGACTGATGGCTGAGCAGGCAACACGGGCAGTTTTTATTTCGGCCATCCCCCCCCCCCCATAGTGAGCTGCAGCGTGCCGGTGAGGGGAAGCCGTGAGGGACAAGCAATCGGCCGTTCACCTTTAAACAATTTTCTGCCCATTGTGCCTCTTCCCTCGCCGAGGATTCCTGGACCCCGAAATCTGACAACTTAGCAGAAATAACAGAGAATAATTGCTGATAATTTACCGGTAGTCAGGCTAACAAGACGCATATTTTTCCAGGCCATACAAATGGATATATAATTGCGCCGATTCCTATAAGGTCTTCCCGGGAGGAAGTCGTTGTCACGTATCACGCGGGCGGACGCGCTCATTTCTCGGAAAGGCCTTAATTGGGACCCTGAAAGACCGAACCGGCGAATTAATCATCGCCCAATAGGAACGCGGAACTGAGATGTTCTATATACTGTATACAAGACGGGGAGAGAATACAAAGATACGCCGCAGGGGCCCCGGGACACAGAGCAGATCATGACATTAATAGGAGGAGAAGCCATGGGGGCCCCGGGACACAGAGCAGATCGTGATATTAATAAGAAGATGCGCCATGGGGCCGCCATGGCTATCCTCCTCCTATTAATATCACAATCTGCTCTGTGTCCGGGGCCCCCATGGCTTCTCCTCCTATTAATATCACAATATGCTCTGTATCCGGGGCCCCCATGGTGCACCCTCCTATTAATATCACGATCTGCTCTGTGTCCGGGGCCCCCATGGCTCCTCCTCCTATAATTATCATGATCTGCTCTGTGTCCGGGGCCCCCATGGCTCCTCCTCCTATTAATATCATGATCTGCTCTGTGTCCGGGGCCCCCATTGCTCCTCCTCCTATTAATATCATAATAACAGAGCACAGAGCAGATCGTTACTACAGGAGATGGTCAGAGACTGCAGACATAGTACATGAGATGGTCAGAGACTGCAGACATAGTACAGGAGATGACCAGAGACTGCGGACACAGTACAGGAGATGGTCAGAGACTGCGAACACAGTACAGGAGATGGTCAGAGACTGCAGACATAGTACAGGAGATGACCAGAGACTGCAGACACAGTACAGGAGATGACCAGAGACTGCAGGCATAGTACAGGAGATGGTCAGAGACTGCAGGCATAGTATAGGGGATGGTCAGAGACTGCAGGCATACTACAAGAGTTGGTCAGAGACTGCAGACATAGTACAGGGGATGGTCAGAGACTGCAGACATAGTACATGAGATGGTCAGAGACTGCAGACATAGTACAGGAGATGACCAGAGACTGCGGACACAGTACAGGAGATGGTCAGAGACTGCGAACACAGTACAGGAGATGGTCAGAGACTGCAGACATAGTACAGGAGATGACCAGAGACTGCAGACACAGTACAGGAGATGACCAGAGACTGCAGGCATAGTACAGGAGATGGTCAGAGACTGCAGGCATAGTATAGGGGATGGTCAGAGACTGCAGGCATACTACAAGAGTTGGTCAGAGACTGCAGACATAGTACAGGGGATGGTCAGAGACTGCAGACATAGTACATGAGATGGTCAGAGACTGCAGACATAGTACAGGAGATGGTCAGAGACTGCAGACATAGTACAGGAGATGACCAGAGACTGCGGACACAGTACAGGAGATGACCAGAGACTGCGGACACAGTACAGGAGATGACCAGAGACTGCGGACATAGTACAGGAGATGACCAGAGACTGCGGACACAGTACAGGATATGACCAGAGACTGCGGACACAGTACAGGAGATGACCAGAGACTGCGGACACAATACAGGAGATGACCAGAGACTGCAGACATAGTACAGGAGATGACCAGAGACTGCGGACATAGTACAGGAGATGACCAGAGACTGCAGACATAGTACAGGAGATGGCCAGAGACTGCAGACAGTACAGGAGATGACCAGAGACTGCAGACATACTACAGAAGATGACCAGATACTGCGGACACAGTACAGGAGATGGTCAGAGACTGCAGACAGTACAGGAGATGACCAGAGACTGCAGACAGTACAGGAGATGACCAGAGACTGCGGACAGTACAGGAGATGACCAGAGACTGCGGACAGTACAGGAGATGACCAGAGACTGCGGACATAGTACAGGAGATGACCAGAGACTGCGGACAGTACAGGAGATGACCAGAGACTGCAGACAGTACAGGAGATGGACAGAGACTGCAGACATAGTACAGGAGATGACCAGAGACTGCGGACATAGTACAGGAGATGACCAGAGACTGCAGACATAGTACAGGAGATGACCAGAGACTGCGGACACAGTACAGGAGATGGTCAGAGACTGCAGACAGTACAGGAGATGACCAGAGACTGCAGACAGTACAGGAGATGACCAGAGACTGCGGACAGTACAGGAGATGACCAGAGACTGCGGACAGTACAGGAGATGACCAGAGACTGCGGACATAGTACAGGAGATGACCAGAGACTGCGGACAGTACAGGAGATGACCAGAGACTGCAGACAGTACAGGAGATGGACAGAGACTGCAGACATAGTACAGGAGATGACCAGAGACTGCGGACATAGTACAGGAGATGACCAGAGACTGCAGACATAGTACAGGAGATGGTCAGAGACTGCAGACACAGTACAGGAGATGGTCAGAGACTGCAGACATAGTACAAGAGATGGTCAGAGACTGCAGACACAGTACAGGAGATGGTCAGAGACTGCAGACATAGTACAGGAGATGACCAGAGACTGCAGACATAGTACAGGAGATGACCAGAGACTGTGGCCAGTACAGGAGATAACTGCTGACCTTTGGGGAGAGGGGGGCGGGTACCCGCTCTTACTTCGGCGGAGTTGTTCTTTGGTTAGTGTCAGCTCTGCAGCGGGACCTTACCTGTTCCTCTATCCAGCTCTGCGCTGTCTTCCCGGCTTCTGTAGTGTCGGCGCTCGGCTTGACAGCCGGGTGCCAAGTGCGCATGAGCGAGAAGCGCTGCGCTTTGTGATTGGTCCGGTGGCTTCTGGGACCTGTCATGTGTCCCAGGTGCCGCCTTACCATTCACAAAGAGCACCGCTTCTTGCGCATGCGCACTTGGGACCCGGCTGTCAAGCCGAGCGCCGACACTACAGAAACCGGGAAGACAGCGCAGAGCTGGATAGAGGAACAGGTAAGGTCCCGCTGCAGAGCTGAGCGGCCGGCCCGGTATTCTGACACGGCGGCGGTGGAAATACCGGACCGGCCGCTCCATATTCGCTCCATAAGACGCACTGACATTTTCCCCCCTCTTTTGGGGGGAAAAAAGTGCGTCTTATGGAGTGAAAAATACGGTATGTAAAAATATATGTTAAACTACTTTTTTATGTTAAAAAAAGCATTTTTAAAATATACGCCTTTAGAAAATATATTTACATTTACATTTTTTAGAATACATGTTAAAATACATTAGCGCAGACCGATATATTGTAAATATAGGTCACATATATAATTTTTTTTTCTATATATATTGGAAATATATTTCTCTTCCATGTGGGTACGCCCAACATAACTTGTTCTCTTAACAAAAAAAAAAAAGGGATTACCAGGACCACCAGCAGGAAATCCAATTACACAGGCTTTTCACAGCCTAGTAGTAAAATGGCGAATGTAGGAATCAGGTTGGAGCGGACCACGTGCTGGGTGGAGGTGATAAATATGAATCATTCTTTGCTCCACATTCACCTTCTTCTTAGAATTTAACATGAATGATTGGGCATGTGGAAGCCGAACATAATCAATAGAAGCTAGTGATACAAATGCATTGTGGAATCCCCTTAGACACGTATCTGTTTCTCATTCTATGTCCATCCATGTTATTAGACTTTGATACCCATCAATGTGATATGTGATGATATCAGGGATCAGTGAAATGCTGGCCGGTGGGGGGATTGAGCTGGAATCTGTAGAAATAAATAGTTTGGTCTGCGGACATAATTCCCAGACTCCCCGACTGATAACCCCGCGCCTTATAGATGGAATCTGCTTCTTCTCTCGGTATAACACCAACAACACAGCAATACGAATAACACAGCAAGACGGACAATGCAAACTCAAACATCATTCTAGCGCAGCCTTTCTCAAACTTTTTACTCCGGAGGAACCCTTAAAATAATTTTCAGGTCACAGGCAACCCCCTGGTAAAATAAATTAATCTGAGGTCATTGGGAAAATGCCCCCATTGATGGTCGGTGGGAAAATGCCCCCCTTACCATGGGGGCCCACAGCCAGCTAAACAGATCATTGGTTTCATGCAACTGGCTCTGCCAAGTGACGTTAGGCAAGGAATTGTGTAGGACCATCAGATGGGAGGTCAAAGAACCACGGATCACCCCTAATATTCTCTGGAGGAACCCTAGTTGAGAATGGCTGGTTGAGCTCCTATCTGATGTTAGACTCAGAACTGTGCAGGCACCAACAGAAAGGAGGTTCATCAGCCCCAGCTCAAGGAAGCCTAAAAACCTCTGGAGGAACCCCTAGGGTTTCTACAGAACCCTGGTTAAGAACGGCTATTTTACCTATCTGATGTTTGACTTAGAACTGTGTAGAGCCATCAGATAGGAGGTCAATCAGCCACAGCTCAAGGGAACCCTAGCAACCTCTGAAGGAACCCTAGGGTTTGATGGAGCCCTAGTTGTGAATGGCTGGTTGGCCCCTATCTCATATTAAACTCAGAACTGTGCAGGCACTGTCAGATAGGAGAACCTTCAGCTTCAGTTTAAGGAGCCGCTAGCAACCTCTGAAGGAACCCTAGGGTTCTACAGAACTCTGGTTGAGAATGACTGGTTGACGCTCTATCTGATGTTAGACTCAGAACTGTGCCATCAGGTAGGTACCATCAGATAGGAAGTCAATCGGCTACAGTATAAGGTGCCCCTAGAAACCTTGGAAGGAACCTTAGGGTTCTATGAAGTCCTGATTGAGAATGGTCGGTTGACCTTCTATCTGATTTTTCATGCACCATCAGATAGAAGGTCTATCAGCCACAGTTCAAGAAACTCCTAACAACCTCTGGAGGAACATTGGTTGAGAATGGCTGGTTGAACTATCTGATGTTAGACTCAGAACTGTGCAGGCACCATCAGATAGAAGGTCCATCAGCCACTGCTCAAGGAGTCCTTAGAAACCTGTGAAGGAACCCTGTTGGAGAATGGTTGTTCTAGAATATTCCACATCATCCAGATATGTATCTTTTTATCTTAAAAAAGAATTCCAGGTGTGGATATTTTTATGTACTTATATTGTTCCAGCTTGGACCAATGTTACTGTGTAAACAGTATGCCATGCCTCTGGGATCCCCTTGAAAGCTGGAAATCACTGAAGTAGATACCACTACTACAACTTTACTACACTGCTACAACACTCCTACCACAGTGATCTCCATTTGTTTCTGGTACCCGTGCTGAACGACTGTCCTGCTGCACTGTGAGCACAGGAGGTCAGCCGCTGGGCGCAGGCACCATTCAAAGACTGGAGAGGGTGACATCACTACCCAGCCTTTCAACCTCATCCAATCAGAGAATGCTTTTCATCCACTGAGAAGTTACAAAGCATTCTCTGGATAACACCCATGTCAAGCGGCCAACCTCCTGTGTTCAGAATGTAGCATGGCAACCACACGCCTCTACATCTCCCGCACACCAACCACACGCCTCTACATCTCCCGCACACCAATCACATGCCTCTACATCTCCGTCACACCAACCAACCGCACGCCTCTACATCTCCGTCACACCAACCGCACGCCTCTACATCTCCCGCACACCAACCGCACGCCTCCACATCTCCCGCACACCAACCGCACGCCTCCACATCTCCCGCACACCAACCGCACGCCTCCACATCTCCCGCACACCAACCGCACGCCTCTACATCTCCCGCACACCAACCGCACGCCTCCACATCTCCCGCACACCAACCGCACGCCTCCACACATCTCCCGCACACCAACCGCACGCCTCCACATCTCCCGCACACCAACCGCACGCCTCTACATCTCCCGCACACCAACCGCACGCCTCTACATCTCCCGCACACCAACCGCACGCCTCCACATCTCCCGCACACCAACCGCACGCCTCCACATCTCCCGCACACCAACCGCACGCCTCCACATCTCCCGCACACCAACCGCACGCCTCTACATCTCCCGCACACCAACCGCACGCCTCTACATCTCCCGCACACCAACCACACGCCTCTACATCTCCGTCACACCAACCACACTCCTCTACATCTCCCGCAGACCAACCACACGCCTCTACATCTCCCGCACACCAACCGCACGCCTCTACATCTTCCGCACACCAACCGCACGCCTCTACATCTCCCGCACACCAACCACACACCTCTACATCTCTGTCACACCAACCGCACTCCTCTACATCTCCCGCAGACCAACCGCACGCCTCTACATCTCCCGCACACCAACCGCACGCCTCTACATCTCCCGCACACCACCAACCACACGCCTCTACATCTCCCGCACACCAACCGCACGCCTCTACATCTCCCGCACACCAACCACACGCCTCTACATCTCCCGCACACCAACCGCACGCCTCCACATCTCCCGCACACCAACCACACGCCTCTACATCTCCCGCACACCAACCACACGCCTCTACATCTCCGCACACCAACCGCACGCCTCTACATCTCCCGCACACCAACCACACGCCTCTACATCTCCCGCACACCAACCGCACGCCTCCACATCTCCCGCACACCAACCACACGCCTCTACATCTCCCGCACCTCAACCGCACGCCTCTACATCTCCCGCACACCAACCACACGCCTCCACATCTCCCGCACACCAACCCCTCTGTTGGATGACAGGTCCACTTTAATAGAATCACACTTATTCAGCAGCATGTTAACAAAATCTATCTCTAGGTAAAAAAAAAAAAAAAAAAGGTGGTGGTGGTGGTGGACGGGGGTGGGGTGGTAGGGGGGCAGGGGGGGAGGGGGGGGGCTGGAGTTAATTCGTGTTTTCTCGAGTGCTATTTATTTTTGTTTTTAATTGAGCAAAATGGTTTCCAGCTGCAGCCAGGTATCATTATGTTCATTATTTTTAATTCACCTTAAAATGAGATGATTAATTCCTTGGAAAGTTTTCTGATTAGGCTTCTTAATCTGGCCAAGTTTGTTTTCACTGCAACCGGACAATGGGCTGCGCAATTTTATGTGGATCACAGATCATAATTGGGCGTCGTAAAAGTTAGGGCACCTTTTGGTCGCAGCCGTGGAGAGTCTAATTGAAAAAAACGCACGCAGCCGGGCGGCTGGAGGGGACGACGTCCTGGGGGGCTGAGATTTCACTGCGACGGAATATTCTACTAAAACTGAAGATAAAGAAAAAAAAAATTAGTTATAAGGAGCCGACGCTAAACATCATCACACCAAATCCCTAAATACCCGACCAGTAGACGAGATTTACTTCGCACTCATATAGAACAATAGAGAGCCAATATTTGATTGCTATAGATTAAAAAAAAAATAAATGTGTACATGAATCCTTTTTGCCGCCAGGGCCTTTTTGTATTTTTTGTATTGGTTTAAAAATCATTTTTAGACCTGAAGATTACATAAAACACTCAAAAACATGATCTGCTTTCTGAAAGAAGATACCCTAGAGCAGTGGTCTCCAAACTGTGGCCCTTTGACACCAATGATGGGGCACTATTCCTCCCACTGACAACAATGATGGGGCACTATTCCTCCCACTGACACCAATGATGAGGCACTATTCCTCCC